CTCCTTTGTCCAATATATATATATATTTTAGTCATCTGAAAGCCATTTCTAAAGGCCACAGTCAGTTGTGTCAGTAACAAATTTTAATCTTACACATGCATTTGCAGTATGCACTGTTAGCTAATGAGAGATGCTTTCAGATGCTCACATTACCCACGTCTTGGTTAAAATATCACGTTTTGATGTTTGAAATACAAAATAAATCATCAGTCTCAACAATACCAAAACGCAACAATGTTCAGGAACTGTCGTATATTTGTGTGTCGTATCATTTTATAGAGAATGTGGTAATGTGGTGGTCAATGTTGTGGTTTTGTAGTCCCATTGCAGGTTCAAGCCCAGGTTGCGTCACGAATGGCATCCGGCACAGAACCAGTTGCAAATCTTTCATGCGAGTTTGCTTGCTGTGTTGACCCTTGAAGCTGAAAGAAACTTTATTTAAGACTGACATTCTGTTCCTTTAATGGGCAGCCTTCTCAATGGACAACATTAGTTTGTCTGATCTAATCTAAAATCCAAAGTGCAAGGCACTTGTCTGCCTCAGTGGAGTTGTTTATTGTCAGTGATCAGCTACTGCAGCGTTAAACAAGTAAAGACTGGTGAAAACTCCCAGCAGCCTGTAATGGTCAGGGGACATTCAGCTATACTGGCTGCAGCTCCATGTTGTGGCCACACTGGAAGCTTTTTTGTATGACATTAGTGTGTCAGTCTGTTACTTTGGTTTGTTGTCAGTTTTCTCAACAGGCATTGGTTTAGCCAACACCAAATCACCAAAACACTTCATTCTACAGGTGAAAATGCAGTGAGTCACATATTACAGAAACTTATAGGTAAGGAGCGTCAATCGGTAGAAATTATTGTATGCTTTTTATATTCTGAACCATGTTAGCACAACACAAAACATGTTAGGACTATGAATATAAAATATTCAAAGAATTATGTGCTGGAATGCACTCAAAATGCATGCGTTACCATGGAAAACAAATTGAACTATACTGATCCAGTTACAACTTTAACTATGTCAACTGACTTCCTACACCATGATATCTATCTATCTATCTATCTATCTATCTATCTATCTATCTATCTATCTATCTATCTATCGAGAGAGAGATTTATTGGTTGATTTGCAGCTGCTGGAGACTCAGGATCCTATTGCAGTAACAGGTCTTTGCAGGCAGGTGGGGTGAGAGCCACCTGTCAGATTTTAAAAAAGATGAACTGGTGGGAAGGCAGTTGCAGAGGGAGGCCTTTAATGCTGTGAACAGTGGGGCAATGCAAGTTTGAGGTCCAAAGGGCAAAGCAGGGGTCAAACACAGGGAGTCAGTGGTACAAGAGTAATCAAAAAGGGTGACCAGTGAGTCGTGGTCATAGACTGAAGAGGAGGTCTTTACCGTGATCAAAGATGCAGAGCAGAAGCAGATGAGGAGCAGGCAAAAACAGGAAATCTAGAAGGCAAGGCGTGAAGTTCAGGCATGAAACAAGAAAGCTATGATGGCTGGAAAATCAGGGACCATGAGTGGTGTAATCATTCAGCCAAGGACAAGTGCAAGTGGAACTCTTCAAATAAGGCAAAGAACAGGTGCAGTGAATCAGGGCTGATGAGCTGAAGGTGCAGAGGGGGCGTGGCTAATGACCGAGAAGAAAAACGGCATGATGACAAAAGAGGAGCAGAAACATGACACGATGGGGCTGTGAGTGTGAGACAGGGGCTGATGGGGGGGTCAGCGGCATGACATGGATTGAGAGATGGATCGACGGATTGAGGCCTCGTCCTCAGTAATGAGTGTGTTGCTTGGTTCAGTCGTGGTGAAGAAAGAGCTGAGTCGAAAGGCAAAGCTCTCGATTTACTGATCTGTCTATGTTCTGACCCTCAAAATGAGGTTTGAATCATGACCAAAAGAAAGAGATCCGATAGCTGAAATGGGCTTCTGTCTTAGGATCGCTCATCCTTGGAGACAGAGTGAGGAGCCCCGTCATCTGGAAGGAGCTTGGAGTAAAGCTGCTGCTCCTCCTTATCTAAAAGAGTCAATTGAGGTGGTTCAGGCCTCTGATTAGGATGCCTCTTGGATGTCTCTCTTTAGAGGTTTACTGGACACGTCCCACTGGTAGGACACCCCGAGGAAGACTAGAACTCGCTAGAGGGATGGTGCATCTGCTCTGGCCTGCAACGCCTTGGGGTGCCCCAGATTGAGAATGTGTCGCTGGGGAGAAGGATGTCTAATTTTCTCTCCTGGACCTGTTTGCTCCACGACCCAATACGGATAAGCAGTGGAAGATGGATGGATATTTATCTATCCATCCATTATCTTTATATTTATAAGATTATTAAAGCCCTCCCTGTTTGGTGGAGGGGTGGTTAAAATGTGTTATCAAGCTTGCCTCTATCATCATTTGCCCTCCTCTGGGCACTTGAGCGAGGTCCTTATAATAATAATAATAATAATAATAATAATAATAATAATAATGTCATCACAATGTCAGCACTGTATGTTTCCATACAATGGCGAAATTAGTCTCTGCATTTAACCCATCCACCACCAGGTGGTGCAGTGAGCAGCTATTATCCCCTTATCTGCTCCCCCAGGGCACCTGAGATGGCAGCCCCCTGCTCCACACATATGGGATGTGGTTACATGAGGAAGGGCATCCGACTTAAAATACTTCTTCATCTGTGTTCGCTCGCTGTGGCGACCCCCAAAGAACCTGTGACCTCCGATCACAGGCTCGCCTTCTCTAGCCTCTGCACCACCACTCACACCATATACATATGCAATTATGAATATGATATATGACTTAGCAGCTAATCCAGACATAGTTAAAAAGACTCAATACCTGAATGTATTTTATGTCAGAGTCACTTTCTCTAACCTCTGTGCCAACACGCCCTACTTGCCCTCGAAGACTAATGACATTTAAAACAATACAGACAGAACAAAAACTAAATGTTTTGTAATGAGTAATAAAATACACACTACTACTTTAGGTTTTAGCAATTTTTTTTTTTTTTTTTTATGATTGTCTACTGTTGTCATCATTCTTTGTTTAAAACAGGTCTCTCTTGTAAATGAGTCCTCGAGGCTCAATGAGACTAACCTGTATAAATAAAGGTTGAATGAATGAATGAAAGGTTTGATGAATAAATGTGTATAATGTATTACTTTTATCATTGGGGAAAGGTACCGGTAATCTTCCAAGATACAACTTAAGCAATTAATTGTTTGGCACAGAGACTGGTCTGTGACAGCAGCACCACCCAATGGTTTCAAATCACTTCCTTTACAATTCATTATTTCCATCAGATTTTTTTGGGACTGTCATAATAAAAAAGTGAAATATTTATTTGAGTAAATCTTTTTGCTATTATATATGGACATCCGTGTTCATAGGGTAGAATCTAATCACTTATACACAAAGTTTGTTTTCTCAGTCATCCAGGTATATAACAACAAAAAAGGTTGAATCATGTCATCTGGACTTCGTTTTTTTTTAAACCATTAGTGAAAAGGCCAGACTTCAGGGGTATCTGAGGCAGGCTTGAAACACAAGAGTCAGGGTGGCTTCTGGGTAATACCAGATGGCTAGGCCTCAGACTGACGAAGCCTCTTGGATGAGGGGCGAAACGTTTCTTTTTAACAGAAAAAACGAAGTCCAGATGACATGATTCAACCTTTTTTGTTGTTATATACCTGGATGACTGAGAAAACAAACTTTGTGTTTTTGAAACCATTAGTGAAAAGGCCAGACTTCAGGGGTATCTGAGGCAGGCTTGAAACACAAGAGTCAGGGTGGCTTCTGGGTAATACCAGATGGCTAGGCCTCAGACTGACGAAGCCTCTTGGATGAGGGGCAAAACGTTTCTTTTTAACAAAAAAAACGAAGTCCAGATGACATGATTCAACCTTTTTTGTTCTAATCACTTATAGTTTATAATGTCTAGCTCCAGAGACCACAATCAGACCGCCTCTTTCGCAACGGCCCAAAGTGGAGCAAATATATCCCAGCTAAATGTTGATACTGTTCAGGGAATTCATAAAGATGATCTCCTGACCACGGGCTCGCCTTCTCCAACCTGTGCACCACCACTCCCTGTTATGAAGAGGAGGATTATCTTTTCTTTTCTTGCTCTGTAGTGTCACTCAGGACTTTTGGAGCAGTTTGTGGGGTTGGCTTCAAGTCCAGGGAATTGAACTGCCAGCTCTTACTTAACAATAATAACATTTAGTGTTTATATTCAAAGCTCTAAAATAGAATTTTTAATTAATAACCTAATATTACTAGGAACACTTTTTGTTCATAATTGTAGTTTTTTTTTTTTATTAGGTAAATCCAAACTTATGTTGTTGGGGGAAATTATCTGAAATCTTTTTGTGAGTCTCTTAATTTGGTTAAACGTAAATATGCTCAACAAATGTATACTTTGATGAATAATTTTGATTTGATTTAAACCTCTACACTTGTTCCTTGTTACGTAATTTTTTTAATTTATTTTATTTTATTGTGAATGTATATAACTCAAACTGTGAAATTTAATTGTTACTTTGTATTACTTTGTTTGCCTTGGTTTGTTTGCAAACTGTAGTTCTTAATAAATAAATAAATAAACACCACTCACTATAAATATTGTTACTGTTTTTTGTTTTACGAAGTGAGCCTGAATGCAGCATGGGACTCGGCGCTGCTCAGGGCTCTCGCGCACTCTCATCCTTCTTTGTCTTCCGTCCAATCAGCGCGCAGGCTCGAATCTCTGGCTGCTGATTGGACGAGGAGGAGAAAGATGCGACGTCCAGGCAGAACAGACAGAGGACTTTTTAAACCGCACTGATACGTTTTATTATTTTAATCCACAGTTTGATGTTTTGACTCGTGTGTGTTTGTGGTTCACTCAGTTCAGCACCTCGAAGGTGTCGATTTCATCCCTTTTTTTTAATTTATTTATGAGGTTTTGTCTGGTTTAGCATCGGTTGTTGGCCCCATGGCGCTGCTTTGTAGTCACAGCCGAGAGATTGTAGCTTCGGATGGTGCACTGTCAAATTTGTAAATAAAGGTAAGGAGAAAAATAAGATTATGACAAGGTTTTATTTTGGAATTTGACTTGTGGTCTTTGTTTTCCATTGTGAGGGCCTAGGCTAGACTGAACCATCAGGTTACTTCAGTCTGTAAACATTTACTTAGTTTATGTAATGTTCCACCTTCTGATAATTATTAATGTGCTTGTAGTGATGGTGTTGTTGATTTTAATCAAAACGAGAAAACTAGAGCAAAATGTCCCAGAATACATATGTACACGGATTAGACGGTCATTTGAGGACAGATCAATTTTACTTTATTATTATTAATATTATTCCATCAGGCTGTGACGTGTGTAGTTTCCTGTCTAGGTATTGCTGTGTGAACGATGCACAAACAATGTCTGATGCCGAGGCCACATACGCAGACTTCATCGCCTCTGGCCGGACGGGTCGTCGGAACGCCATGCATGACATCCTGCAGAGTCCCACCGACCCTGAGGGACGAGGACTGTCCCTCACCCTGTCTCTGTCCCAGCTGCACATCAACCCTGGAGGGGGAGGTAACTATATGATACAATAAATACACCACCATCAAGCAGGACAGCCATCATCTTTATTATAATATATAAACATGCATAACTATATCAAATACGGTATGCAGTCATTTTTTTGCGGTTTAGGTGATCAATAAAGTGGAAGAGGTATTATGTTATTTAAAGGGGGATATCAGTTCTAATCATCTTTAAGGTGCAAACGTTTGTGACCTAGAATCTGAAATAAACAAAAGCATCCTGCTGAAGCTGTCCTGAACAGAATGATACTAAATTATGTAAGCAGGTGCAGGACTAACGATGGGGACTTTCAGGTTCTTCTACATTAAAATCAATAGAGCTTATTGATGTCTTTGTCATTAATAATATTAATAATTTAAAGCAAAGCAAACAGATATGACACATAAATCAGTAGAAAGACAACATCTATACATCATTACAAACATACATTTACTGTATGCATTTGTTCTGTTGTTTTTCTGTTTAGACACTTTAATGTTTGCACTGATTGCATTACTCACTGCACTTTATACAGTATGCATTACAGAACTTTATGATGTCCATTTACCCCCTTCTGCTCTTGCTTCAGATAGGATTTAGTTAGAAAGATATCAGAGGATGGATCAAGATGTCCTACCATGACACTGTGTATGGTCTTGATCTCCCTGCTGATGAAAATAATCATCAAAGGCGTCACAAAATCACAGATTTTGTTGCTAGCAGAGCACTCACATTAAAAACCTGCAATAAATTTCCTCAGTGGTTGTTTTGTTACTCCTCCTTGAATTGCCACCTAATCGTGGTGGAGGATTTTGTGCGACTGAATGATCCTAGGAGCTATGCTGTTGGGAGCGATTTTAATTGCCCCATGTAGGGTCTGCCAAGGCAGATTGGTTCTAGGTGACAGGCCAGACAAAGAGCGATTCCAAAGACTCTTATGGACAGAAAACAAACAAGGAGCTCGGTGTCCCTTGCCCGGACATGGGTTACCGTGGAGCCAGGCCTGAGGGAAGGACTCGTCAGCGAGCGCCTGGTGACTGTGTCTCTACCCATGGGGTCCGGTTGGGCTCAGCTTGATTGTAACATGGCTTTGTCTTACTGTGGGCCCACCACCTGCAGGAGGGGCCATACGAGTCGGGTGCATGACGCCATGGGCAGTGGCCGAAGGTGGGGGCCTTGGCGCTTTGACCCTGACTTACCAAAGCTGGCTCTTGGGATATGAAATGTGACCTCTCTGGCGAGGAAGGCGCCGGTTTGTGAGGTTGAGAGATACCGACTATAGTTGGGCTCACCACGATACACAGCATGGGCTCTGGAACCAATCTCCTTGAGAGGGACTGGACCTTAATCCACTCTGGACTTGACCATGGTGAGATGTGCTGAGCTGGTGTGGGTCTACTCTTAATTCAATTCACTTCAGTTTATTTATATAGCGCCAAGTCGTCAAGGAGGAAACTGCTCTGATCCATCTGTTTTCACTCTACATCATATGTGTCAAACTCAAGGCCCGGGGGCCAAATGTGGCCCTCGTTGACATCTTGTCTGGCCCTCAAGATGATATTTCAAATGTAAAATACTTTTATCACTTTATTTTTTTTTTCAGTCATCTTTGATTATGATGTCAAAAGTGCAACAGAGAACATCAAATGAGACCAATCAAACTCTTGTTGAGGAACCTGCAACCAAGAAAATATGTTGGGTATCTGATTTGAGTTAGTAGATTCTGAAACGGCCCTTAGTTTGAAGAAGGTTTTAATTGTGCCCCTTTTGTAAGTGAATTTGACACCCCTGCTCTCCATTGTTCTCTCACTTGTTATCAAAACCCCAAGATACTTAAGCTCCTCCCCTTTTAGGCAGCACCTCACTCCCAACCTAAACAGAGCAGTCAATTCAGTGTCCCCTGATTTGCTGGTATGCAGTTAAAGTGCTCCGGTAACTGACAGGAGAGGGACATTTTTACCGCTCATACAAATGTTGGAAATCCCAGTCTATATGATAAAAATATGATAACATTTCAATCACAGCGCTTATCTTCAGTTGATTATCTTTGTGTTTTTTGACTTCACTGAAATATTACAAAGGCAGGGTAAGATTGTAGACCTCAGTAAAACACAATCTCACTTCAAGAAGAACCTCATTTCACTACGTCCTGTTGTAGTTTGTTGAATTGAAACTTCTCAGCATTAAGACAATTCATGTGACGTCATGGCTGCAGCCTAAATATACCCTTGCATCATCACTGCATGGAGAAGATAGAGCTACAGAGACAAGTATTACACTGTGATTGACTGAAACTAAGGATTTCTAGGCATGTCAAAAAGTGTTACCCTCTTCTCTAAATAGTCAGTTTTATATCATGGAAGGTGCGAGTTGTAAAAAAATATACTGTCCTCCTTTTCTCTGCAGATGGAGAAGACACTGAGGACAGCCAGGGCTCCTACTCCTCGGCCCAGCGGGATGCAGAGCAGAGGAACAGCTGAACTTCCTCTCGCTCCGTTCATCATTCAGAGAGCTGCAGGATGGATTACAGACACCACCCTGAAGAATCTGTTTGTCCCAAATAGGCTGCTGGCACGAGGGTAGGATCATCGCTGCTGATATGCATTTCAAAGCAGGGCAATGGTACTCTGAATTCACTGTGGAGGTGATCACCCACTGACTGCATGGGAACTTGAATGGAAGTCATGGTTCACATAAGGACAGCTGTCTTTGTTAAAACACACAAGATGAAATGAGGAAAATGAGGAAACACACAGGACTCCAGTAGTTCCAGTCATTTGGAAGATATGATGATGCAATGACTCCCATTAGGGTGAGGCAGTGATGCTGAGACAGACTGTATTAGCAGTTAATGGTTATGTTCCCTTTAACTGACGGGGAGATCCAGACTCAGCTTTAATGGATCTAAAACACTTGAGTTGCATAAATGCTGAAAGCTGTTCTCTGTTTTTTTATTTGTATTGCTTAAATCTTCACAGCCTTACATGAGCAGTTTGTCATGTTTGGAAACACATTTGGGTTTTTTTCTTGTAGAGAGTTAGATGAGAAGAATTAGCTGCCAGTTATGTAACTAGAGTCAGCTTGGTTTAGTTTTATTTAAAGGACAGGGCATACATTTGTGCCCAAAAGCAACAAAACGTGCATGTAGAAGTACAACTGATTATTTTTAGTTCAACCCTATTCAAGATGGCTGCCACAGCCAGCTAATCTTATAAAACACAAACATTGTGAAAGTTTAGACAATTTTACAAATAATAATCTGAGATTTGGTTTGGTAGTAGCTGAGAGTCATTCCCCGCATACACTTAGTGCTAATACATCTAGCAAGATCTAGTAACATTACACAAATCTCACTTAACAGCTATAGCAAGTTTTACCAAAATGGCGATAACTTTGTTATTCATCATAAAATCATCTTAATTTTACATAAAATTTTGTTTTTTTTTATTGGAAAAAAGTCCACTAAGGCAAAATAAATAAAAATAAATCATAGTTAGCACATCTCTTATTAATTATTCTCCTAAACAACTTGACAAAAGTCCAGATGTTTTGGGGCCTAAAAGTAAGTTTTTATGTTTAAAGCAGCTGTTCACTGCAACAAAGAAAGTCCATTCATGTTGCCATGTTTAAATTCCTCACACAAACTAAAACAGTTCCTTAAATTCAACTTTGGGATCTGTGTTGGAGAGAAAACATTTTTTAAATGGACAGTTTTTATTTTTGTGTGAGATTATTATAATTTTGAATCATTTGACATTAAACTTGATGCCATATCGAACTGTGCACGCCATGTAAAGTAGCGCATTGTCAGTCATAACCTGCTTTCTTTTGATTTTAATGTAGACAGGACAATAATCAAAAAGCGAAAACAATATTATGCTTTTTGGAACAATTGCTCACAGCTAAAAGTCCATTTTGAGACATTTTTGTGAAGTACTACATTTAGCGATGGTTGTTGTTTTCTCATTTGTGTTAAACTATTAGATTTTTTTTTCTTTATCATCACAAGAGTTTTGTCATGTTGGGTTTTAGAAAAAAAAAATTCAAGGTCAGATTTGTTTTATTTATTGCATACTGTTCAACAACGTATTAAACTTTATTGAAGCTACAGATAAATAAAAAGTTATATTTGCCTTTTGTGTTACATTGAATACATCAAAGTTCATACTCAATAATCTGGGTAAATAATCCAACAAAGTTCAGTCAGGTCATCTGAATGGTTTCTTTTTTTGTTGAGACATTTCATCCTTCATCCAAAGGACCTCAGTCTGAGGAGCCACACCAAACTAAGTCCCATACGTAGTTTACATAGTGGGCCAACCATTTTGCTGGTGAGATGGTTTCTAAAGTCCACCCTCTCCCCCGTCGACTCCTCTGAGGCAGAAATGGCCAAAATGGTTCAAAACATTAAGTTCATGCTCAATAATCCAGGTAAATAATCCAACAAAGTTCAGTCAGGTCATCTGGATGTTTTCTTTTGGTTGAGATATTTCATCCTTCATCCAAAGGACTTCATTTGTCTGAGGAGTCACAACAAACATCAGTCCCATAAATTCAAAAAAGTGTTCAATACAAAAACAACTGGACTTTATTTGTAACCGAAGACGTTCCGCTCCTCATCCGAGGAGCTTTCTCAATTCAAAGAGCAGAGTGAGGGGTTCAGGTTATAAAGCTGAGTGAGATGACACACATACACATTTGACAATTCACACCTCAACACTTTAACAGTAGGGGTTTCTTAAGGTCTTTGTTCATCTAATTCACAGATGAGGCCCCTCTGTTCCCATCAGGTGTGAAAACTGGCTGGGAATCAGTCTTAAAGTTGCATTATATGTTTTTGAAAGTGGAAATCTGAGGCCTCCTCCTCTGTTAAGAGATGTTTTTTCTCTTTTTACATAAATTGCTTCCTTCACCCCCCTCTCAAACCATCATCTACTGTAAAGGTGTTGAGGTGTGAATTGTCAAATCTGCATATGTGTGTGTCTTATCTCACTCAGCCTTATAACCTGAACCGCTCACTCACTGCTCTTTGAATTGAGAAAGCTCCTCGGATGAGGAGCGAAACGTCTTCTGTTACAAATAAAGTCCAGTTGTTTTTGTATTGAACATTTTTTGAATTTATCATGTCCTGGATGACTGAGAATCTTCACCAGCATATCAGTCCCATAAGTTCATGTTCAATAATCCAGGTAAAAAAATCTAACAAAGTTCAGTCAGGTCATCTGGATGGTTTCTTTTTTCTTGAGACCTTTCTTCCTTCATCCAAAGGACTTCATCTGTCCAATGAGCCACAACAAACTCAGTCCCACAAGCAGCAAACTCCCATACACTCCCATAGTGGACCAACCAGTTTGCTAGTGATAAGATGACTTCTGGGGCCTGCCCTCTCCCCTGTCAACTCTTCTGAGGCAGCCATGGTCAAAGTGGTTCAAAACATCAAAGTTCATGCTCAATAATCCATCCAGCAGCAAACTGGTTGGTCCATTATGTGAGTGTGCTGCTTATGGGACTGAATTTACTGATGAAGTCCTTTGGATGGAGGAAGAAATGTCTCAACAACAAAAGAAAAATAAACTGTCTAGATAACATGACCTAACTTTGCTGTGCCTTGAATACAGTTATTTTACAGTTTTATGTTAGAAAGAAATGTTGGACCTTTTCCTGCCTTTAAAAGCTACAGATTGATTCTTTCAATCATGTTTGCACTTTCCTCTGAACTTTTATAAAATCTGGGTAAAAAAAAATAACTGTAAGAGGTTGTGCATACAAAAGTGCACAACTATTTTAAAAACAAAAGTTGAGAGCTCTTCCTTGTACTGTAGTTGATATTGCACAAAGTCCATTAAAGATAAAAAAAAGTCTTGTGATCTGTTTTCGACCTTTGATATGCAACATTTAATAATTTCCCGGTACGGTTTTGTTGTGGCACTTTGATTAGTTTATAATCCGAGTGCATTTCTCCTGACTTTGTTTGTGTCCAAGTGAACAAGCAAAAAGGGCAGTTTTTATTGCTATGCATGACGAGCGAGGCTTTATGACCAGCTACAAAGACATAAATCTCAGCTGCAGCTACATGATTATCATGAGATGGATATCGATCAGTTCCTCTAACTCTCTTCAGCGAAATCCAAAATGTTCGACTATTCCATGTTCAATATTCAGTCTTTGTGTATTTGTGTGAAACGTTTGTTTATAACACTAAATTTCTGCTGTGTTTTTGTAATATTTCATCCATGCTGACCTTATTTTTTACCTTCCTGTACAACTACAACCAAACTGTGACTCATTTACTCTGATGACGGGAAACAAACGTAGCCCTTGTTTCTTTATTCAGTCAGGTGTTTACGTTGGAAGCTGACAGATGACTGTTGAAAACAGGAAGACGTACGTCCAGCTGCTCCTTCTTTCTGCATGCACAGCACTTGCATGGTTCTGCTGAATGTACCGCTCTTTGTCTGGCTCTCACTTTTTCGACTCATGAACCAATGAAACAAATAAAGACTGAAAAGGGGACGCCTCGTGTGTGGTTGCACGTGTGGAGCTTGACCAGCAGGAAGCACTGCAGGAAAGTTTTATAATAAAACTGTTTTTTTTTAAGTATTAAAACTTGCTTTGGTTATAGAACTGTATATGTTTTTAAAATGTAAGTCACCTCATTTTCTATAAATAGTGTCTGAATGTATTTAGTGGGGGTGTTATCTCTTCACTACTGAGCCGAAAAAAACAGACAGTTGTGCCCCTGTGTGTGCAAAAACATCCCAGTGTGTGTGTGTGTGTGTGTGTGTGTGTGTGTGTGTGTGTGTGTGTG